CTGGGTAATTCATGTCAGTCATTTTGTCAGTGACAAAACACTAACACCATAGATGCCACAGTGAGGAAGCTGGATGGGAAGAGCCAGGGGAGCTATTGTGCTTCCAAAGATCCCTTAGGTCATGCACGCTCCACGGCCCACTGTTCAAAGGATGTGTGACACTCTGTGGGGTACCCTGCTGCAAGGAAGACCAAGATGTGTCATAATGCTCTGCCTGACTCTGTCCTCCTCAGCTGCATCCCTCCTCTTCCTCTTTGTTTGGGAAAAGTGCAATATCTTTTCTGTCTATTTTATGTTCTCAGATACTAAAAGAAAATACTAAGGAAGGTCATGATATGGGTTGTCTTTATTTTGGGTGACTATATACCAAGCCAATGTGTAGAGTTCATTGTCTGAGTTGTCTTCATTTTGCCCTATCAGGTAGCCACCTCCCATTTAGTGATGAAGTTATGTTCTGTGTCAAGGTCACACAACCCACAATGGGAGTCTCAGATACAGCTTTGACCCAAAGCCCAGCACCTGCACTCAGTCCTAAGCTGGGTACCATCTACTCAAATGGCAGTTGCAAACCTGCAAACACAGCTTTCTGTTCTAATGAGAAGGGACACTGGGTTCTTCTCATGGACATTGAGAGAGGTGCCTCACCTTGCTGAGGTCCACACCATCAACTGGGAGCAGGACTATCAAGCTCAGCTCCATGCCATCATAGGGCATCACCAGCATCTTTGCCTCAACTTCTTTCACATAGGCAAGTTTAAATACGTCTTTCTGATACATCATCTGCACTGGTCTTGTCTCCCTCTGAACAGAAGAATCCAGAACATAAAAGATATTATTGAGAGAGTTCAGAGTGTTTCCAAATGAGTGGAATTTAACAGCAGAAATGTTTTAGTACTCACAATGAAAACACTATTCATGGTACAGTGAACACTTAGTCAATATCTATCAGCCTCTTCCTGCTTTCATAAAAATAATGGAGTGTAAGCAGATATATACTGCTGTAGATAGGGTTCTACAGTTGTGATGAAACACCAAAACCAACTTGGGAAGAAAAGGGTTTATTTCATCTTAAAACTCTCAGGTCACATTCCATCACTGAGGCAAGTCAGCAGGAACTCAGGTAAAAGCCATTAAAAAAATTCTACTTATTGACTTCTTCCCCATGGATTTCTCAATCTTCTTTCTTACATAGCTCAAGACCATTTGCCCAGGGTTGGTACTACCCAAAATGCACTGGGCCCACACCAATCAAGTATGAAGAAAATGCCTAACAGACTTGCCTCTAGGCCAGTCTCATGGAGGCAATTTCTCAGTGCAGAGTCCTTTTCAAATGGCTCTAACTTGTCTAAAATTGACAAAACAACAACGTGGACAGGGATTAACTCAGGAAAGATGATATGGCATCTGGCAACAAATATGACATTCAAATGTTAATATTTTAAAATCCTGCTTGGGTCTAAAATGTTCCATAAAGGCTCATGATCCAAGGCTTTTGTCCACAGGGTAGCACCATTGGGAGCTGGACAAACCTTTAGGAGGTAGGGCCCGATGGGAGTATGTAAAATGTTAGGGGTGGGCACTGAAGAAGATATTTGCACTACAATCTCTTCCTGTTTCTCTCTATTGCTTTCTGACTGCTGTGAGGCCAACAAGCCCTCACCATGCATTTCCACCATGCTGTAGTGCATCACCACAACCTAGAGTGATTGGACCAACTGACCAGACTGAAACTTCTGGAACCATGAGCCCAATTAAACTTTTACAACCACCATATCAGATGCAGGATTTTGATCATTTAAAATGGTCAACAATTATATCTAAGGAAACAGCATATAGATAACAAAAAATTTCCTCACATAGACTGGATTATTTTTGTAGTCATGTCAATGGGGTACAGACATATACATCTTCTCAGAAAATAGCCTGCCAACAGGAGCACACATGCTCAGAGGTTTAGAATGGGTCACAACCTTATAACCCACCACAGAGCAGAGAGCTCCAGAGCACAGACAATAACAGGCTTAGGGCAGAACTCCATTCTGATAGCGCATTACAGAAAAGGGAAATCTTTGTGATGTATTACAGTCTGAGGACCTATCATAGACAGACAGTTCTTGTTAACTCTTTAAGAGTTAGGGGCCATCTGGACAGAATCTAATGAATATTTCTATGATTAATCAGGTTGTTTCTGTTATGATAGTCCAGAGGTATTTTTTAAACACAGATGTGGACTGACCATATGGGAACATTTTAATTACAGTGGTACATTAAACATAAAAATTTGCTGCAGACCACACATAATGAAGATTAAATTACCCAATAAAAGGACTCATTCTTTTACAAAGTTTTTTTTTTAAAGCACCTGTAATAAAAACATAGTAAGGAGTTTATCATTCATGACACTCCAAAGCATATCAAATTATATTATATAGGTATTGGGCAAATAATTCTAATATCTACTGTAATTCAAATTATACTCCAATTAAGACAGAGATTGTAATCACTCAGTTTCAATATTAGAAAGTGATAAATATTGTTTAATAATGATAAATTACTAAATATTCTTATATTACTTTCTACTCTGCCTCATATTCCATACATATATTATACTATGTTAGCAGCTTAGTTTTGCTATTCCAAAAATGTAAGGAAAATTTAATTTCTAAAATGAGGTAGGAACAATGGTTTTATGAGAAATTACCAGAAGCAGTATGAACCACCATCAGGATGTAAAATAACACAAGGAGAAAATACTCTTTATTTTTATCATTTTCTACAGAGTTTAACCTTTCATTCAGAAATATATGTTAGAAATGGTTTTCTGTGCTTTCTCATTTTTGCTTTCTAGGCTGAGGATAAAACCCAGCACCCACAGAGGACATGTGATCTTTACCTCTGAGCTCCAGAGCTACACATTCACAATTACACCCTTGCATGCAATCTCTCCACCACACTGGCGTGGACCTTTGGACACTGTTCCTTACCTGGTTTATTTTAAAGGGCATTTCCCTTGTGCGTTCTTTGTCAAACTCTTTTTGCCACTTTCCTTTGAAATATAAGGCGTTGACAAGAACCAGCCTGGTCGCAGAATCAACTGAGCCACCCAACAGCAACTCTGGAATTTTCCCTTTTGAGGAAGCAGAGATTCATTCAGGTTCATGTTATACACATGTGAGAAATGAACTGACCTGACATCTGGGCAGGTCCAAGCATCATGCTTTCAAATTTGTGGAATGTGGATAAACATATTTAAAAAATCAAAACAACATACAAACACCCATTTTTGACTTGATGCCATGCACACTGGAAGAACATGGCAAGTATGTGGATATTGAAAAACTTCCAAGTCTCTCA